CCTGAGCATGAAGTCCTTTTCCGAAGACTGATCTCTCCTGGCCATGGGCCCAAAGTATGTGAGATGGAACTTCAAAATCTTGGCCTCCAAGGAGAAACTTCCTTTCACCCTCTCCAAGACAGACCGATTTGTTTTCTTGGTGGTCCATGGTATGTTCAAGACTCTTCTCCAGCACCACAACTCAAAAGCATCTATTCTTTTTCTGTCATCCTTAGTCACTGTCCAGCTCTCTGATGCATAGCAAGTAACTGCAAAGACCACGATCTGGATCAGGCGCACCTTAGTCTCTAGACTGATATCGTTGCTTCTCAGTACTCTGGAGAGGTCCCTGACAGCAGATTTTCCCAGTGCAATTCGTCTTTTGTTTTCCTGACTGCCGGTGCCAAGAGTGTCATCGTGGAGCTGAGTAAGCTGTAATTGTTAACAACCTTAACCTCTTCTTCATCTATAATGGTTGTTGCTGTTAATTGTCTTCAAGTTCAGCATAACTCATAGTGAGCCCATGAACAAAAGGCCTGAAGCCCCTCTACAACTGTCAATATTTATCAAAGTTCATAGAGTTTCTGGAGGCATGTTGTTTAGGAAGTGGATGCCACTCCTGCTTCCAAATCTGTCATAGTATGTTATTGTTGTTATATGCCATTGAGTCACCTGCGATGAATAGCGACCCTCTGTACAGCAGCTCCGAACTCTACTCTGTCCTGAGCCAGTCCCACTAATTCTGACACACTAACCCCCATCACCTAAATTACTGCATCAATCCATGTCATCTGGGGTCTCTTGCTAATTATTCTTAAGTATAAAGAGCTTTTCCTCAAAAGTTTTAAACATTTCTTTAAAGTCTTCCCCCCCCCATTGCACACTTATTAATACTGTCACAGTGCTGTTTTGTGCCATTGAATCAGAACTGAGTCACAGCTGACCCTCCAGTGGGTTTTCAGAGACTGTAAACTACACAAGATTGTCCACCTTTCTTCCACAGAACAGCTGGTGGACTACAGTTGGTGGACTGGCCTTTGGGTTGGCAGTGCACCTCCTCACCACTAGGTCATGAGAGCTCCCTAGTCAAGCTTGTTGTTACTGTTGGAATGGACCCATTGCTGAGATTCTACATTCCAGGTAGTAGAGGCTGCTGCCTAACATTAACTCCCATTCGTTGAATGTTAACCAACTCATAGCTCCCCTTATAGTTTCAGAGGCTGTAAATCACACAGAGGGAGACTATCCATCTTTCTCCTTTGGAGCCGCTGGTGGAGTTGACCTGGCATGGTGTGTCCTCTGGATGGGTCAGCAGCAGCACGAGTCCCTATGCATTATGTCCCCAAAGCTCCCTGCGGTAACATATGGCACCAAGAAACATGTTCTAAAACAAGTAACTGGCTCAATGGTGTGTTAGAATTAGTGAGACTGGCTCAGGACAGGGCAGGCTTCAGAGCTGCTGTACAGAGGATCACTATGAGTCACACACGACTCGATGGCACACAACAACGAGAAAAATGAAGTGGGGGGAAAAGAAATGATGCATGCTCAGAATGAAAGAGGAAAGTCTTGTTCTCCATTTGAGAGTCAGTCACATACCTGAACAAATATATTTCTTTTGACAATATGAATTATAGGGAGCTCTGGGGGCCTAGTGGAAAGAAACTGTGCAGCAATCCTGAAGACATGCAGTTCAAATCCAGCAGATGCTCTGAGGGAGATGGATGGGCAATGTCCTGTGTGATTAATTGCCTTTGAAAGCCCGCTGGAGAATCAGCTATGGTTGGGTTCTGACTTACCAGCATACAAGGGAACATATAACTTATAAAAACTGAGTTATGTGTGCATATATAGAGTGAGCTCTGATGGCCTACTGGGTAAGGAGTTGCATTACCAACCCAGAGGAAGACAGTTCAAATCTACCAGCTACTTTGCTTAAGAAAGATGAACAGTCTTGTCTTGTGTGATTTACAGCCTCTGTAAGGCAGCTGAGAGGTCACTACAAGTCAATTTTGACCTGACAGCAATGAGTTTGTTGACATACAGGTAGATATTATTTTTAAATATAAACATTCACCTAAATTTACTTATTTATGGCCCAAATATTTACATTTTTAAAAAGGAGAGAAGGTCATTAAAATCAATATTTTCCAGTAGTTAAATAAGTAGCTAAATACTTTCCAGTCACTTAAATAAGTCAAACATCCGAACTCCAAAAGTATGAGTGAGAAGCGGTGCATCCAAAGTTACGTCAAAAACAAGTTATTCAATTTCCTAACTCTGATCTTAAGTCTAGCAACCTTCAGTCTTTGCTATAAAAGAGAATCTCCTTGTTCAGGGAGCTCTGGTGGTCTAGTGGCAAGAAGCTTTGCTGCAATCCCAAAGGTGCGCAGTTCAAATCCACCTGACGCCTCACTGGAGAGGGTGGGTCAATTCCCTCCTGAGAATCTACTTGTTCAGAATCTCAAATGATGTATTTTTCGACAAGGAATTCTACTGTCAGTGGACCCAGAGTCTTCTGGTCTTTACCCAAATACCATAGCCACTAGACAGATGTGGCTAATGAACCCCCAAACTATAGCTAAAATATGTACTATATTTTGAACTCTTATTTTATCAGTTTTAATCTTGATAGCAAGCTGAAATAATATTTTGGAAATGCTTAATGAAACAATTTATATCATTCAGACAAACGCCACTTGTTCTTTTTAACTCTTTTTAAAAAATACTGATCTTGTTGTTAGGTGCTACCAAGCACAGCCTGTTGAGACTATGAACAAAAGACCTGAATCCCTTCCTATCCTGTGCCATCTGCATCGTGTCTGAAACACTTGAGACCACTGTCTCACTGTGTCAGTCTACCTGAGCGGGTGTTTTCTTCTCTTATGATTACTACTCTCCACCTTTCCAAGCACAATGTCCTCTTCCAAGGAATAGCCTCTCCTAGCCACATGTCCAGAGTACGAGGGATGAAGCTTCACCATCCTTCCCTCCAAGGAGCACCCTGGTTGCATTTCCTGCAAGACAGACTTGCTTGCTCTTTCGAAAGTCCATTCAGTAATTTTTTCCAACATCACACCTCAAAGGCAATGAGTTGTCTTCTCTCAATCCTATTTATCGTCCAGTTCAGATGAACAGCGAATAAGTGAAAAGACCAGAGCTTGAAGCAGTCTTAGAAAAGCTGAAATTATCTGTAAGGCTTACACTGTTTCTCTACTGAACAGCGTCAATCTCGCACTAAATCATAGCAATTTCCAAGGGAGTTCAAACCACTTAAATGAGGAAGTGGTCCTGTATTTATTTAGTCCACACTTTTTTTTCTGTGTTATTTTTCCACTAGCTTAGACACCAACATGACTAATAAGCAGTTAGTTACTGACTGAATTTCATTCACTTAAAACTAGTCTTAATTTCATCAGAAGGGGAGCTGTACCCCCATTATCATAAAACATATCTCCTTAAAAATGTTTGATGAAGAACCCAAGATTACCCCAAACGAACCCTTTTATCAACTTCTAAACTGCTGCAGAAGTAATTCAATTGAGAGAATTTGCCTTTCAGGGAATTCTCTTTTCGAAATCAATAATATATCTCTTATTCCACTCATTAAATTTAGTAACAGAATAGACATGGCCTCCTCTCTTTTGCTACAGATTTACAGTGGCCCTGAATGATCCTTTTAAATGTAGTTAACCTGCTGTCTAAAAAGTATACTAAGTTTTCTCCACCAATTACCAAGCAGAATTCATCATCTGTACCAAAGAACGCAGCAATTCATTTCAGTGTCTATTTTCTCAATTATCCCAAGGATAGCATATAACTAGTGTCACTCCAGATTCGCAGAAAAAGCACTCATTTTGTGCAACAGATGCCTTGAGGCATTAAGGTTTAAATTATCGAGTGGAGTGCAGTTTAAAAGAGCCTACTATTGTTGTTACGTGCATCTAGTCAAGTGCGACCCTAGGCACCACAGACCCGAACCCTGTCCTGTCCTGTGCCGTCGTCATCCTCTCTGAGATACCTGGGCCCACTGCTGCAGTCACTGTGTTGATCCATCTTGTTGGGGGTCTTCCTCTCTTTCGCTGACCCTCCTTTCCAAGCATCATGTCCCATTCCAAAAAGAATAACACCTCTTACTAACACACTCAAAGTATGTATCACATCTTTGCCCTCTTTGCCTGTAGTTTCCTATTAATATTAACGACTAAGAGTCCCCATTTGTGTGAGGGTGTTATTATTTATATAGTTGAGGTTTCTGAATTGCAACAAGCAACGGTTCTTGGAAAACAAGTTCTAAAAAGAAATCTAGCATTCTGTCTGGCAGATTGCATGACTGTGCTCTGCAGAGATTTCTAAGAGTCGCTCAGAAAAACCTCGAAACCAAGGAGCAAGGCAGTATGGGTCTTGGATATTTCTGCTGTGCATTAACTATCATTCTGCTATGTCATAAAGTACACTTATAATTCTATTTGACTTCAGAGTTTAACGCTAGAACTTTTTATTAAATGACAGTCATCACAACTGCAGCCACATTAGAAGAATACTCGGCACATTAGAAGAACTATCTAAAAGAAATATATGATTAGGTATTATCTGCATGACAATGGTCCAGAATAAGAGGTGCACAGCAAAGTGGACTGGGGGTGGTGGGTAGGAGAGAGAGAGGAAATGGTGCAACAACGAAAGAATCTTTTTAAAGAAAAAAGCGAAGTGGGGTTGGGGGGGCGGGTAGAGAGGAAAATGTGCAACAATGAATGAATGGAAATCCAAATTTTCTGTAAACTTGTTAAAATATCACTGAAAAGAATAAAATTTTCAAAAGTAAAAAGAATACTCTGTCATCTGCAGTTATAACTTAATAAAAATAATAAAATGTAAAGAATTAACAACTTACTCACACACTCAAAGTATGTATCATCTTTGCCCTCCTTGCCTCTAGTTTCGTATTAATATTAATGACTAAGAGTCACCCATTTGTGAGGGTGTTATTATTTATATAGTTATGTGTAGTTATACCTTACCTAAGTATATCAATCCAAATCCTCCAGAGCCAATCATCTTTCCCAGCGTCCACTGCTTCCCTTCCACGTCATCCAGAATCTTACCTTCCGGCAGTGGAACAGGAAGCGTATATTTGCTATTTCTCTTTGGTGCCATCACTTCTGTTGATAGAAGAGGTGAGTAAGTAATCAAAACCAAAAATATAACCCTCTTTATAGATGAAAACACAACGTGGGTGGGGAACTTTTCAGAGATTCCTTGAAATTAGGATTCTGCAGTTTGAGGTCCTTTTCTTTCAATAAATCTGGGCACCACACAGTCCAGTCAGATTCACATACACTGTTATACTGGATTCTAAGGGTACTGGGACTAAAAACGGAAACAACCTGTTACATCTTAAACCAAGACTTCCCAAATGCAAGTCATGAGTTAATTGCTGCAGAGTTGGAACCAACTCATAGCTGACTCTCTAGTGAATTATGGAAGTTGTAAATTATATAGAAGACCACTGTCCATTTTTCTCTCATAAACTCTATTTTGTTTCTGTTAGCTTAAAAAAATTAAAATATAAAAAAAAATAGCAGGATGTTGGATTCTAGTAAACAAAAAGAGGGGGGAATCTAGTAATGAGAACAGAAACTTCATTGTGGGTGAGGTGGGAAGTTATGGAAAAGAAAAAAAAAACACTTCCTAGATTTATAAGATTCACAGTTGGATTTGAACAGTCAGAGAGGCATGGTCTTTGGGGCAGCAATGCGACTCCCTGTAGGCTTGTAACCAGAACTCCAGAAAATTGAATTAAGGGTCTGAAATTACACAACTACCACAAAGGAAGGTTGGTGTTCTACTTCTGAAAAATGGCAGCCATTGAGAACTGATTATATGGAACAAGGTTCAGCTCTGTATCAGGTGGGAAGGCCCTGAGTCTGAATTGACTCAAGAGCAACCGGGTTCTCTGCTGGCTTGTGCTTAATGCTCGTTAACAGCACAGCTGTGATGCTCCAATGGCAAAGGAGTTGCGCTGCTAACTCAAAGGCCAGCTGTTCAAATCCACCAGGTGCTTCAAAGACGAACAGATGGGCAAGCTCTTCCCCTGTGAAACCCCCCCTGGAGGAAAACCAATAAGCCTGAGTAGCATTGATGGTGCTGAAACACTTAAAGGAAAAAGCAAGCTCATTTTCAGTGACAAATTACACATAAAGGTCATGTTGTTGTTGTTGTCGTTGACTGCCATCAAGCCGAGCACTGCTTCATAGTGACCCTATGAACAAAAGGCCTAAAAGTCTTTCTATAACTATCGTCATATCTCCAGGTTCGCAGAGTTTCCAGAAGCATGTGGTTTAGGAAGTAGATGCCACTCCTGCTTCCAAACTGGTCTTAAAACTGTGAGCTCCACTAAACTCTGTCCAGTATGGGCAGCTTTTATGACATTTGACTCCCAGTGATTCAAGGTTCAGCTTCACAGCAAACCCAGATTATCTCAGTACAGCAAATTGACAGAAGAGTGCTGTACAACTTAGAAAAATGTTCCTCCAAAACATTAACCCTAGGCCCTCAGGCTCAAAAGACCTTTAAATACAAGGGCCCTCCATATATACACATGAACAAAAGGCCTGGAGCCTGTCTATAACTACCATCATTTCTCCAAGTTCGTAAGACTTTTCCAGAGGCACGTGGTTTAGGAAGTGGATGCCACTCCTGCTTCCAAACCTGAAACAATCTGGGAGCTCCACCAAACACATTCAAATACCGCTTCTGTTGAGGATGCTAAACGTCAGAGAGCTTTAGTCATCAGGAAAGACTATAACCTTTGACTGGGAAACAGACAAAAGCGCTGACAACCACCACGCCAACCAGGTGACAGAGCAGGGCCTCCCTGATTGTTATATGAACCAGACTGAAAGGTAGTTTAGAATCCATTGATTAATCTCTAAGCTTCTTGTCTTGATCTTGACCTTCTCTCCTTCCCTTCCCATCTGAATCAAAGTGAAAATGAGAGCATGGCTATTCCAGCCAACAACAAAAGCTAGCCACGAAGCCGCACACAGCTTAGTTCAAGGCCTTGTCATTTACAAGGGCTAGTTAATTTCGCACTGAGATTTTGAGGCGAGAAAGAAAACTCAGTCAAAAAAAAGAAAAGAAAAATACACCAACATGTATCCCCAAAACTAATTTAAAAGTGAAGGTAGCTACGAATCCATGATTTTCTTAAGTATTTTTTGTATAGACGTTAAAACTGATGAACTTTTGAAAGGATGTTATGTGTGCTAGATGTAGAAAGTTTTGTGTAACTTTCCACCTTTCTCACAACGAAGTTTCTGTTCCTTTTAGTAAGTTTCCCCTTTTTACTTACTGAAATCCAGTGCCCTGGTTTTTTTGGGTTTTTTCCTTAAAAGAAAGTAAAGTCGAAAGTAGAGTGTCAGAACACACCAAAACTTTCAACAAGTCTTGACAAAGACCCATAAGAGAAGCTGGGAATCTGAATGGTGACCCTGGACTAGGGTGTCAGCAAAGAAGGAAAAGTTTTGCGGGAGTTCAGTACGTGTGTACTGAACAGACTGTACAGACACGGATGTATGTTAAGTGGATATAAAGTACAAATACTGGTAAAGAGCATCAGAGGAGGCGCAGGCGGAAGGGAGGGCCACCCGGCCGCATCCCGGGGAAGCTGACGGGGCGCGTGGGGTCCGATCTTCCCGCCTGGGGCTCTCCGGGGACCCCCGCACCCCGAAACCCCACCCCTGCGCCCTCCTCGCTGGCGGAGCGTGCTCGGCCCGCGCTTCCTTCCGGGCGCCGCGGAGGAAAGGGGCGCCCGCTCTCAGAGTCTGCGGGAAGCGAGCGACCCCAGCCGGGCGTGCGCTCTGGAGCCGGCGCTCCGCCCTCCGGAGGCCCATCCGGGCGCGGGGACGCGGAGAGTCTCACCCCGACCCCCGGGCCCCCACCGAGAGGGCGAGGACTAACCCGGCACTCGGTGTCCCCCGCCGCCAGGCCGCGCCGCGCTCCCGCTCCCGCTCCCGCCGGCCTCTCGGGCGCACGGGCGGGGCCCCGGGCCTCCAATCCCGCGGGGAGGCGGGTCCTGCGCCGGGCCGCCCGCTCCAGACGCGCCGGGGCGCTCCGCTCGGACGCCGGCTGCCTGCGCAGCCTCGGGCGGCCCATGGGTGCTTCCGGCGCCGTCCACGCGCCAGCACGCGCACCCGGGCCTCGGGCGCGCCATGGCCAGTGGGACCCTTGGGCTCCGTCCTCGTGCCGGGGACTCCGCGGCCTGTGGGTCCCTTCGGCCCCGTCCTTGCGCCGGGGACGCCGCACCCAGGCCCGCGGAGCCACAGCCGGCCTACTGCTCCGGGGATGCCCAAAGGTGGCGGCTCTAAAGGCGCTGTCTTTGCCATCCCCAGCCCCCTTCTCCAGCAACCCCCCACCCCGTGGCCACTGTCTGCTGTGACTTTTTCACCTTGACCTAGGAGCCCTGGTGGCGTCGTGGTTAAGGCCCCCTCTGAATGTCGTCCTTGGGAGGCTCATGTGGCCAGTGGGCTTGGATGTCGCAGTCTGCTACCATAAGTAGCAGACACCCATAACAAAAACCCCCCACACCAAATCGGTATCTTTAAGTGCATTTTGATAGTAACCCCCATGGGACAGGAAAGAACTGCCCACAGGGTTTCAGGGGCACCCGTCTTTCCTGGATCTGACCCACTGGAGTCAATGCACAGGCCTAAGGGCTTAACCATTGTGCCACCAGGCCCCCTTAAGTAAAGAGTTCAAGTGTTTTAATAGCCGTTTGGCCCTTGCCCGTTGCTGGCTGGGTGAAAAGATGAAGCCGTTTGTTTCCATGAAAATTCACAGCCGTGGGAATGGCCTGTACCCTATGAGGTCACTGAGGTCAGTCAGGCTCAAGAGCTGTGGATTTGGTGATGGGATTTTTACTTAGGAACCGTTAACAATTGCTTGGAGCTAACTTTCTTTAAAAAAAAGAGAATCCAAGTTCAGGCCCTGATAAATCAAGGAGTTAAAAGGCTGCTTACCCAAAGGTTGCCGGTTCACTGGAAAACACAGTCGTTGAAACTTCTATGAAGAACGAGTTTACACACGCGTTGGACTCCGCCGATGTGAACTATTTTTTTTAACTGGTGGTGGTGGTGGCTTGTTTTACTTTTCTTTCTTAATAAAGGGGTCACACCAAACACAGCTCACCCCACTGCCCTTGCGTTGTTGAATCTGTGAGCGAGGAAACAGCCACATCCTCCTCTGTAATGTGTCTAGAAGATTCTAACCATGGAACTTTCGGTTAAAGCCTGAGAGCTTTAATACTTTAATGAGAACCAAATGCCACTGCTGTCAATTTGATTCTGACTTAATCTCACCCAAATGCTAGCTGGGAAAAGATGGCTTCCCAAAAACACCAGATACTTAGTGAGGTTATAAAAGCATATTTAAAGAAACTTGAGTATATGTACTGAACACTACTGCTTTTTATATTATGAAGCCGTTATTACCCAAACAATAGCCTTTGTTAAATAAAAATTTTACTTTGGTTTGCTTACAAAGTTCGTATACATTGTGTTTCACACTATCCTTCATTCACATTGTGTTTCATACACTCATTTCCATGCGTTATGTTTTATAAAATTAATCACCATTGGACTATGCCCATCATTACCCTGTCTTTTCAGGTCTCCGCCTAATCTTTTCCATTTCCTTTACCCTTCCTCCCTCCACCCACAAAAATGTGCAACCCTGTGAATTTGCCTGCCTTTCTTCTTTTTTGTAAGGTTTGTATATAACATGCATCTAACATCACTCACCCCACTAAATTTGTTCACCTGGATGGAAATCCACTCCTCCTGGAAATTGGATTAGGGAAGATACAGCACAAGACCCCACAGTTACCTGATCTAGCTAAGCAAATCACACGCTGGGCTCACACGAGGTGTCTCTCATTCTTTACACCTGGCATCCTAATGGATAAGGAGTTACGCTGGCAACCTGCAGGTAAGCAGTTCAAATTCACCAGCTGCTTCAAGGGAGGAAGGTGAGACACACTGAAAACCCAGTGGACAGTCGATTAAGAGTTGGCTCCAACATGGATGAAAAAATGCTAATCTCAAAAATATCTCACTGTTGGGTCGGAAACGATTCATAACTGAATTTTCAGAGGCTGT